GGCGATCCACACGCCGATCCAGAAGTGCGGTAATGCAACGCTGTTTGCTAACCGCCACAGCGGAAAAAGAGCAAAAGAAGAAGAGATGATCTACACACCACCCAAAACATGCTGCGTCTCAATCCGCTACTTACACTACGCCCTACAAGTCTGTACTCTTTCTGTGAAGAAAAAGTAGATCCTCTTGAGTGTGTAGCAGAAGAGTAAAACTATCACACAACTGCATCTTTAACGGCTGCTCTCTGTCGCAGTAAACTGGCCTGTCAATCATCTCGTCAGTCAAAATCTCCACATTTCATTTCATCTCCTTCCGTATCCGACAGAAATGCAGAAGTCGCAGTCGCGGCTCTTTCACGCGAGACTCTCCTCATACTAATGCAGAATTATGCATTTAAAAGTTAATGGCCAAAGATATTAAGACTTGATTAATGAAAAATGCATCAAAATTAAGCGAGTTTGTGTTTAAAACAAGAACTAATAACAACGGAGTCAGAAAAATAATCTTAATTCAAAGGGAAAACCGGTTTATTTTTCGGACACATATTTCTTATTTTAAGCACAAACTCACTTCATTTTGATGCATTTTCATTAATCAAGTCTTAATATCTTCAGTCATTGTTCTTCTCCAGTAAATGTGTCTTGATGTAAGAATGATTAGATGTTAGAGCTGGAGAACGAGACAGAAACACTGAGGAAGAACGTGTGTGAACGCTGTGATTGTTTATAAAAGTGAACAAAATGAGATTTAATTTTACATTGGCTTCCCGTTTGTTTATTGATTACTAAGAATATAATGTTTCATTTAAAGACGACTCATCTGCGGTCGCATGACAGAAGACGCAACGACAAATCGCAGATTTTAATATTCATAAGAAGGTGCGGCGAGTTCAGTGATCATGAATCCTTAATGAGAGTTTGTTCAAGATCAAACGCGCTCTCATGCGTTAATGTTTTATTTATTCTATTTTTCTGTGATTACCGAGAGTTTACGAGGTTCAGTGAAGCTGTGTGTGTGTGTGTCAAATAAATGCTTTTCTTACTCAGTGTTTGTGTCTTGTTTCCAGTCCAAATATACAAACAGTCTTACATCAAGATGCGTTTACTAGATGAGTGAAATGACATAAGATATTATGTCTTGTTTTCTGGGGAAATAAATCAAAATTAACTGAGTTTTTGCTTATAAAAAAGTACAATTATCAGCCAATGGTGTCAGAAAAATACACTTAATTCAAACAGAAACAAGATTATTTTTCTGACCCCATTGGCTGATCATTTAGCTTGTATTAAGCAAAAACTCACTTAATTTTGATTTATTCCCCCAGAAAACAAGACATAATATCTTATGCATTTTACTCATCTAGTAAATGCATTTTGATTTAAGAATATTTGTGTATTTGGACTGGAAACTAGACAGAAACACGGAGTGAGAAAGCATATTGTGCAGTGTTGAGCATCGCCTGCGCTCGTCTTTTGTCCTCTGAACGCTAAAATCTCCTTTTACCTCTCCTCATTCTGGGCAAAATAAGGCCACGTCCTTATCAATATTTCACATGAAATCCACAGGTTGCCATGGCAGCGATATTGAACTCGGTCCGGCTGCCCAGAAGCAAAAGCAGAAACTAATGGAAAGAGGAAAAAGAGCATCTTCTGTTTCTTTGTTCGGGGATTTCAGAGATTTCACACAGTCATGAAAGCGTCTCTCAAAGCCTCGGTCACTGACACGCTCAAACACAGATGTTGCTGTCGCTGTTTTCATCAGTCTTGCTTTGCTTGGCCTCATTTTAAATGCTTGTGCTTTTGCAGAAGTCTCTGGTGTACCAGTGTAAAGTCATGTTGTGTGTGTGTGTGTGTGTGTGTGTGTGTGTGTTTCAGAGCCCAGCTCTCATTACGTGATCTCTCTGAAGGCCTTCAATAACGCGGGAGAAGGAGTTCCTCTCTACGAGAGCGCCGTCACCAGATCCATGTCCGGTGCGTTACGCTTCATATTCATATACAGTGTGATTATAGTCATGCTCCCGTATATATGATCACAACCCTTCAGTTAGAAACCCTGGAGAAACATCTCAGAGATATTACACTTGCGGAGTCATATTTATGTTCGGTATTTGCAGTATTAACTTTATTCTAGAGCTGCTGTAAACACTCTCTGTTACTGTAATCTCCTGTTATCACTGTAAAGCTGCTGTGAAACTCTATACTGTTAAAGCGCTGTATAGATGAAGGAGACTCGACTGTGACGCTGCTTTTCTTCAACCGGAGTCCAGATGACACATATATATATGAAATATTATACTAATGTTCCCATAAAGTTATTTCTGAATGTTCTCAGAATGTCCAGCAGTTTTTAAAATGTTACGGGAACATAACATTATGGGAACATTACTTTTGAATGTTCTCTGAAACATTTTAAAAACATTAAAGACCAGATAACTCTGAACGAGCGTTTTATTAATGTCTCTGGAAGAACGTTTGTTCATAACTTTGAGACATTTTATGTCGTTTTAGACAGTGTGATTATAGTCCTGTTCCCATATATATGATCAAAAACCTTCAGTCACGACTGGACAAACATCTCAGGAGAATAACAGTATTCGACGAGTATCTTTATATTAATGTTCAGTATTCGACGAGTATCTTTATATTGATGTTCAGTATTCGACGAGTATCTTTATATTGATGTTCAGTATTCGACGAGTATCTTTATATTGATGTTCAGTATTCGACGAGTATCTTTATATTGATGTTCAGTATTCGATGAGTATCTTTATATTAATGTTCAGTATTCGACGAGTATCTTTATATTAATGTTCAGTATTCGACGAGTATCTTTATATTAATGTTCAGTATTCGACGAGTATCTTTATATTGATGTTCAGTATTCGACGAGTATCTTTATATTGATGTTCAGTATTCGACGAGTATCTTTATATTAATGTTCAGTATTCGACGAGTATCTTTATATTGATGTTCAGTATTCGACGAGTATCTTTATATTGATGTTCAGTATTCGACGAGTATCTTTATATTAATGTTCAGTATTCGACGAGTATCTTTATATTAATGTTCAGTATTCGACGAGTATCTTTATATTAATGTTCAGTATTCGACGAGTATCTTTATATTGATGTTCAGTATTCGACGAGTATCTTTATATTAATGTTCAGTATTCGACGAGTATCTTTATATTAATGTTCAGTATTCGACGAGTATCTTTATATTAATGTTCAGTATTCGACGAGTATCTTTATATTGATGTTCAGTATTCGACGAGTATCTTTATATTGATGTTCAGTATTCGACGAGTATCTTTATATTAATGTTCAGTATTCGACGAGTATCTTTATATTAATGTTCAGTATTCGACGAGTATCTTTATATTAATGTTCAGTATTCGACGAGTATCTTTATATTAATGTTCAGTATTCGACGAGTATCTTTATATTAATGTTCAGTATTCGACGAGTATCTTTATATTGATGTTCAGTATTCGACGAGTATCTTTATATTAATGTTCAGTATTCGACGAGTATCTTTATATTAATGTTCAGTATTCGACGAGTATCTTTATATTAATGTTCAGTATTCGACGAGTATCTTTATATTAATGTTCAGTATTCGACGAGTATCTTTATATTAATGTTCAGTATTCGACGAGTATCTTTATATTAATGTTCAGTATTCGACGAGTATCTTTATATTGATGTTCAGTATTCGACGAGTATCTTTATATTGATGTTCAGTATTCGACGAGTATCTTTATATTGATGTTCAGTATTCGACGAGTATCTTTATATTAATGTTCAGTATTCGACGAGTATCTTTATATTGATGTTCAGTATTCGACGAGTATCTTTATATTAATGTTCAGTATTCGACGAGTATCTTTATATTAATGTTCAGTATTCGACGAGTATCTTTATATTTAATTTTCAGTATTCGACGAGTATCTTTATATTGATGTTCAGTATTCGACGAGTATCTTTATATTAATGTTCAGTATTCGACGAGTATCTTTATATTAATGTTCAGTATTCGACGAGTATCTTTATATTAATGTTCAGTATTCGACGAGTATCTTTATATTGATGTTCAGTATTCGACGAGTATCTTTATATTAATGTTCAGTATTCGACGAGTATCTTTATATTAATGTTCAGTATTCGACGAGTATCTTTATATTAATGTTCAGTATTCGACGAGTATCTTTATATTAATGTTCAGTATTCGACGAGTATCTTTATATTAATGTTCAGTATTCGACGAGTATCTTTATATTGATGTTCAGTATTCGACGAGTATCTTTATATTGATGTTCAGTATTCGACGAGTATCTTTATATTAATGTTCAGTATTCGACGAGTATCTTTATATTAATGTTCAGTATTCGACGAGTATCTTTATATTAATGTTCAGTATTCGACGAGTATCTTTATATTAATGTTCAGTATTCGACGAGTATCTTTATATTAATGTTCAGTATTCGACGAGTATCTTTATATTGATGTTCAGTATTCGATGAGTATCTTTATATTGATGTTCAGTATTCGACGAGTATCTTTATATTAATGTTCAGTATTCGACGAGTATCTTTATATTAATGTTCAGTATTCGACGAGTATCTTTATATTAATGTTCAGTATTCGACGAGTATCTTTATATTAATGTTCAGTATTCGACGAGTATCTTTATATTAATGTTCAGTATTCGACGAGTATCTTTATATTAATGTTCAGTATTCGACGAGTATCTTTATATTAATGTTCAGTATTCGACGAGTATCTTTATATTGATGTTCAGTATTCGACGAGTATCTTTATATTAATGTTCAGTATTCGACGAGTATCTTTATATTAATGTTCAGTATTCGACGAGTATCTTTATATTAATGTTCAGTATTCGACGAGTATCTTTATATTAATGTTCAGTATTCGACGAGTATCTTTATATTAATGTTCAGTATTCGACGAGTATCTTTATATTGATGTTCAGTATTCGACGAGTATCTTTATATTAATGTTCAGTATTCGACGAGTATCTTTATATTAATGTTCAGTATTCGACGAGTATCTTTATATTAATGTTCAGTATTCGACGAGTATCTTTATATTAATGTTCAGTATTCGACGAGTATCTTTATATTAATGTTCAGTATTCGACGAGTATCTTTATATTGATGTTCAGTATTCGACGAGTATCTTTATATTGATGTTCAGTATTCGACGAGTATCTTTATATTGATGTTCAGTATTCGACGAGTATCTTTATATTAATGTTCAGTATTCGACGAGTATCTTTATATTGATGTTCAGTATTCGACGAGTATCTTTATATTGATGTTCAGTATTCGACGAGTATCTTTATATTAATGTTCAGTATTCGACGAGTATCTTTATATTAATGTTCAGTATTCGACGAGTATCTTTATATTTAATTTTCAGTATTCGACGAGTATCTTTATATTGATGTTCAGTATTCGACGAGTATCTTTATATTAATGTTCAGTATTCGACGAGTATCTTTATATTAATGTTCAGTATTCGACGAGTATCTTTATATTAATGTTCAGTATTCGACGAGTATCTTTATATTGATGTTCAGTATTCGACGAGTATCTTTATATTAATGTTCAGTATTCGACGAGTATCTTTATATTAATGTTCAGTATTCGACGAGTATCTTTATATTAATGTTCAGTATTCGACGAGTATCTTTATATTAATGTTCAGTATTCGACGAGTATCTTTATATTAATGTTCAGTATTCGACGAGTATCTTTATATTAATGTTCAGTATTCGACGAGTATCTTTATATTGATGTTCAGTATTCGACGACTATCTTTATATTGATGTTCAGTATTCGACGAGTATCTTTATATTAATGTTCAGTATTCGACGAGTATCTTTATATTAATGTTCAGTATTCGACGAGTATCTTTATATTAATGTTCAGTATTCGACGAGTATCTTTATATTAATGTTCAGTATTCGACGAGTATCTTTATATTAATGTTCAGTATTCGACGAGTATCTTTATATTGATGTTCAGTATTCGACGAGTATCTTTATATTGATGTTCAGTATTCGACGAGTATCTTTATATTAATGTTCAGTATTCGACGAGTATCTTTATATTAATGTTCAGTATTCGACGAGTATCTTTATATTAATGTTCAGTATTCGACGAGTATCTTTATATTGATGTTCAGTATTCGACGAGTATCTTTATATTAATGTTCAGTATTCGACGAGTATCTTTATATTAATGTTCAGTATTCGACGAGTATCTTTATATTGATGTTCAGTATTCGACGAGTATCTTTATATTAATGTTCAGTATTCGACGAGTATCTTTATATTAATGTTCAGTATTTGCTGTGAAATGCTGCTTTTCTTCATCATGAGCCCTGATGACGATGTCAATGTTAGTTTTATTTATATAACATTATTAATTGGCCAATGTGCTGCACAATAACAACATAACAATAAGACAATACAATATAATTAATAAAATATATATGTATATGAAATATATGAACATTTTACTAACGTTCCCATAAAGTTATTTCTGAATGTTCTCAGAATGTCCAGTTTTTAGTTTGTTTTACACATGTTAAGGGAACATTTCATTTGCTAATATTATGGGATTATTATTATTATTATACTAATACTCTACTAATACTGTAGTCTCAAAGTTACTTATAGTTAGTATAATGTCTAAAGTGGACTATCGAAATAAAGTGTTACATTAATTATACACACACAAACCTTTATTTTGGATGTGATTAATTGCGATTAGTTGCCCAGCATTAGTTTAAAAGTTGGGTTTTTTAAACGTTTTTTCTTGGTTATGTGAAACATTCCATTTTATTATTTTGCAAACATTATGGGAACGTTTAAAGACATTAGACGAACTAAAGCGCTCCATGAACGACGTATAGATAATGTTATAATGCTAACGTTTTGAGAACATTATTAAAGACCACAATACTTTGAAATGAACAAACATTGTATTAACGTTCCTGGAAGAACCTTGAGAGAACCTCCTCATTGAGATGTTGCTGTGTTTCGAACGCTCTCTCTTTAGTTGGCTGTGAGACTCCATCAGTGCGTCTGAAAGTAGTTCAGTCTGTCGTTCATCTGATCACATCACGGACAGATTCATAAATCTGACCTGATGATGATTGATGAGTGATATACAGATGAGTGTGTGTTAGTGGTCTCTCAGGTCAGACTGTAGATTTATCCTCTTTACTCGGTGAATCTCTCCAGAACACTCATATTTCACCCCAGATCAAGAGAAACAAACTATATTTAGCATGAAGAAAATTAAGCTCAATTTTGTGCATATTTCACACTGTACAGAATGATGCTCTTCCTCAGTGTTTCTGTCTCGTTCTCCAGCACTAATATCTAATCATTCTTACATCAAGACACATTTACTGGAGAAGAACAATGACTGAAGATATTAAGTTAATAGATATTAAGTTAATATATTATATTATATTATATATTAACAGATATTGATTAATGAAAAATTAAGTTTTGTGTTTAAAACCAGAACAAATCTCTGCCAGTGGGGTCAGAAAAATTATATTGTTTTCACTTTGAATTAAGATTATTATTCTGACTCCATTGGCAGATATTTGTTCTGGTTTTAAGCACAAACTCACTTAATTTTAACACATTTTTTGGCTTAATATCTTCATTTATGTCGCTTCTCCAGTAAATGTCTCTTGATGTAAGAATGTTTAGATGTTAGTGCTGGAGAACGAGACAAACACTGAGGAAGAACATCATTAATTTAGTCAGCATGAATTAAATAAAACATGAATTGATGTATATTTATAAATGTACTTTACAATATAAATATTCATTTTTCCACATCACAGTTGGCTGATTACAGTTATGAAAATAATGTTGTGTTGAAATATCGCTCATGTTTGCTGAGATTCACCCAGTGCACTAAAAACTGGTAACCTTAAAATGGTACACCGACATTTCACAATTAATTGCAAAGAAACGGCTAATAGCACATTGAAATAAACATGACATTTTGTTTTATAGTGTAACATCTAAATGATCTGGTTCAATATACTGCTAAATCATCAGAAAAACTCATTTTTAGCGACTCGTCAGGAATAAATAGCTCTTGAATCGCAGGTTACCACTTTTTATCTCTTCTAAAAGTCACTCTCTAGATCTCAATGTTCTTCTTTTGTCTCTCTCTGTCACTCCATTCTCCCTCCTTTATTCCTCCGTCCGCTTTCATCTCTGGTCACTTATGATTTTGGCATGAATGCATAACCCTGATCTGTCTCTCTCACACACACACACGCGCGCAGACCCCTCAGACCCGTCCGATGACGATCTCTTCCATCTGTTTGATAAATTCCCCACCCCGGTCCCAGACACCTCCACTCCCATGATTCCTCCTGTAGGTGTTCAGGCCGTGCCGCTCACGTCTGACTCGGTGCGGGTAAGTTGGGCCGACAACTCCATCCCCAAAAACCAGAAGTCCCCGGAAGTGCGTTACTACTCCGTCAAGTGGAAGACCAGCCACTCCACCAGCGGGAAATACAAGGTGACCGCCGGAACACCATGGGGAACTGATGAAGGCATTAGCCTGTACACTGTAACACATGATCGGGATTTTAACGGTAAAACACTGTAACACATGATCGGGATTTTAACGGTAAAATACTGTAACACATGATCGGGATTTTTACGGTAAAACACTGTAACACATGATCGGGATTTTTACGGTAAAGCACTAACACATGATCGGGATTTTAACGGTAAAACACTGTAACACATGATCGGCACTGTAACACATGATCGGGATTTTAACGGTAAAACACTAACACATGATCGGGATTTTAACAGTAAAACACTGTAACACATGATCGGGATTTTAATGGTAAAACACTGTAACACATGATCAGGATTTTAACGGTAAAACACTATCACATGATCGGGATTTTAATGGTAAAACACTGTAACACATGATCGGGATTTTAACAGTAAAACACTGTAACGCATGATCGGGATTTTTACGGTAAAACACTTAGCACATGATCGGGATTTTAACGGTAAAACACTATCACATGATCGGGATTTTAATGGTAAAACACTGTAACACATGATCGGGATTTTAACAGTAAAACACTGTAACACATGATCGGGATTTTAACAGTAAAACACTGTAACACATGATCAGGATTTTTACGGTAAAACACTTAGCACATGATCGGGATTTTAACGGTAAAACACTGTAACACATGATCGGGATTTTAACGGTAAAACACTATCACATGATCGGGATTTTAATGGTAAAACACTGTAACACATGATCGGGATTTTAACAGTAAAACACTGTAACGCATGATCGGGATTTTTACGGTAAAACACTTAGCACATGATCGGGATTTTAACGGTAAAACACTATCACATGATCGGGATTTTAACGGTAAAACACTATCACATGATCGGGATTTTTACGGTAAAACACTGTAACACATGATCGGGATTTTAACGGTAAAGCACTAACACATGATCGGGATTTTAACGATAAAACACTGTAACACATGATCGGCACTGTAACACATGATCGGGATTTTAACGGTAAAACACTGTAACACATGATCGGGATTTTAACAGTAAAACACTGTAACACATGATCGGGATTTTTACGGTAAAACACTTAGCACATCATCGGGATTTTAACGGTAAAACACTATCACATGATCGGGATTTTAATGGTAAAACACTGTAACACATGATCGGGATTTTAACAGTAAAACACTATCACATGATCGGGATTTTAATGGTAAAACACTGTAACACATGATCGGGATTTTAACAGTAAAACACTGTAACACATGATCGGGATTTTTACGGTAAAACACTTAGCACATGATCGGGATTTTAACGGTAAAACACTATCACATGATCGGGATTTTAATGGTAAAACACTGTAACACATGATCGTGAATTTAACGGT